AATAGTTATATGCGTTTTTTGACGAACGAATTTTTTAGTTAATTTTTGTGCAATGGATTTGCAGAAAGAGTTTTTATTAATAGTTTTAATAAAATTGTCTAAACTTTATAATTATATAATTTCTTATTTATTTTACTACTTTTGTTACTGCTAACTTTATTTATAGCTCTAAACAATTAATATTAATAATTAACTCTAGAAACAATATTATTCTAATATTCTTTTTATTGATTTATTTTATTTTATTATCAGTTACCTGATATTAACTCTTTGGTATACTATATTATACACCTATTTAAAAAACTTAAAAATCAAAATTCTGACTATTCTTATAGAGCAACAATGAAATTATTATAGAAAAAATTCATAAATATCTTTAAAATAAATATAGTTGAGATTATAGACTAAAATTAGAACTGACAATTAAGTTATAATAATTTCTTTAGAATGCTAAAACATTTTTAATTAGTACACCTAACCTGGTTATTTAAATAGTTTTTGAGATATAGCAAATGTGGTGCTTGTTATTTAGCAATACCAATAAAAAAATTGATAAAGGATTTTGAAAGTAGTATATAAGCTATTAATTTAAAAATATACAGATTAATTCAAAACATATGCTAATAATAAAATTTGCTTCATAGTTCTGGGCAGAATTATGTCGGTCTTGGGCCGGAATTATTTCAATGCCGGCCAAATTAAACGGTTAAACGATTAAGAAAAATTTTCTAGTTATGTGTTATGTGTAGAATTTCTGCATAAGTTATATCTAGATATTTAATTACTCTTATGAAACCATCTCATTACTTCAGCATTTTTTCCCCTTTTAATACAGTGTATGTTTTTGTTTTATTTATTTATTTACTTGTTTTTTTTTACATAAATACTTTAAACAGCGTGTGAAATAATTATAAAGTCAATACCAAAATTTATGCTTGTACATATGATATACATACCGGTAACAATATTGTTTTGATGAAACTATCGATTGTATGTACGAGAACAAAGTAACACTTTAGCTATACTCTTATAATTAAACTATTGTTCATCATTTATACACGTACGTAATGTTTAAAGTGTTCTAATTGTGTAGTACAAGATAATAAAATACGGTTCCTCTCAGCAATCAAAAAATGGAAAACATGCTTACTGAGAGTGGCATAATACTGCATATTCCATCTGAAAAAGTTCCATATATTCCCTGCCAACTTGAAATCCAATTACTAAAATACCCTGGAACAATTCGTTCCTTACGACCACTGCGAGAACCTTGCCATCCTGTGCTGCGTCCACTATTAGTTTTAATCTCAATGCCGTTAATATACTTTCCAATTATGTACGATATGTCAGTGATATATTCTCCATCAACCCATAGAAAATCTGTAAGATGTCCTTTATTTGGTGTGCCTATAACTTGGTTTGTATCATCTGAAAAAACAAAGACTAAAGAATGCACTGTCCGTTTTGTAGACCAAATTCGAATCATTGTCAACTTTTTTGTAACTGTAGAAAACTTTATATTAAAACTTATACAATTTTTATTCATCTTACTAGGAAGTTTTGGGTGCGGCATATTCAAGTCTTCGATACTATATTTAAGGTCCTTTAATGAATTTTTATCTATCTCTACGTGGTTTATATTCTCTTCAAGTTGTACTTCAACTTCTTGGCTTTTTATGCGGTAGTCATCAATAATTTTATCAAACAATTCTAAATTATTTTGTAATTCTTTGATGAATATTATTCCTTCATCAATTTCTTCCAATTGATCCTTTATATGAATTTTCTCTTCTTCGCTACTAATAAAACGCAAAATTCGCTGATATAATGAATTATCATGTCGTATTGCACTAGTTCTTCCATCATCCAAAACTAAATGTGCTTCTTTGGCTGTGTCAGTAACTTGATATGTTTTTTTGATTGCCTTCGTCAATGCAGCTTTAAAGATAGGAATACGTTTCTTAATCACATCAAGGTGTTTTTGCACTATCTCTCTAGCTGCGTCACTTTCCCCATTCTTTGCTAATTGTTCCTCTATTGCATTCATTCTATCACGAACAGTTCGTGAAAAAACTATGGCCTCATGTCGAAAGTCGGAATATATTTTAGTAGCTTCATTAACACGAATATCCAATGAATTTAATGATTCAAAGATTTTTCTTCGAAAGTTTTGATCAATTTGATCCATATTTCGTATTGTTATGGCAAGATAGCGGCATGCTAGGCTATTTTCAACCATAGTAGGTATCTCTAAGAATAACAACTTGCTTTCATCATATTTTATATATTTTATTTATAACAGTATCAGACATCATGTACTTGATCTTACATACCTGGAACATAAAGTTCATTCATTTCATCTACTACATTTTGGGTTACGGAGACTAATGGGTCTAATGGTGATTTTGTTAGCCGTTGCTGTATGATGAATTAATTAACCATTATATCAAATGTCTACATGATCTATATAGTTTACAATTCAAGAGCAAAAGGAAATTTACAATTTACATTAATAAATGCGATCCACAAACTAATTATTCCTAGTACACCTAAAAATAATCGTGGTTTGGAATAAGCTGACCATAGTAAAAATTTAAGGACATAAGAAATGATTTTATATACAAAGTGGAGAAGATTTAAGACATTCATGTGTTAAATAATGTTCTACTATTAATTGCTTTAGAGACCTTGTCCTTTAGTTGTGTATTGGGTCGCCTGTGAACTAAGTCACAAGGCGTTATAATGTAGTACGCTCGTACATATGTACTGAATATTTATGACTTTTTTGGCTAGAATTATGAACGTATGTACGTACGTACGTTGCACCTTTTTTTGTAGTATTTGGTATTTGTGGTTTCACGATTATCGTTTTGAGATCAAGTATTATTAACCTTTTCTTTTTTTTTAATACATCTAATATTATGCACTATGAACTTGGCTTGTCCCAAATCAATCCCTATAATCGTTGTTTTGCTTGCAATTATTGTTCCGTTATCACATTCTGAGGTAAGCTTTCAAATAATACGTTGATTTCATCTTTGACATGTTAGATACCCTTTTGATATAGACATTTGATGGAGTTTTAATATGAACTTTACTATATGAATTATATGAATTTCAATATATTGAAATTTAAGCGTTTATTCACATTAATATCGATATTCTTTTATTATAGATTCCATTTATAGACTCATTTATTGAATATTTGGAACCATGGATCGATGTGAGTTAAAATTATTTCATAAAATTTAATTGCATAAATACTAACTTACATTCAATCCATTATCATTATACCGTAGATTCCATTGTTCATAAGTACAATTCTTGATTATTTTGAGGCGATCTATGTGAGTCAAATTATTTCATTAATTGAAAATATATAAAAATATATATATGTGTGTATTGTATATTTATTATCAAGATCTTATTTTAGTATCCTCTAGCAATACCAGAGGATGGGCCGATATTCCGTGATCTTGCTAATACGACAACAATGTTTTTAAAAGTTATTGCCACTATCAATATGCCACGTAAGGAGAATTCATGATCCGAATATGAAACGTACATATTATATATTTACATATTTCCTGTCCAACATTTGATAATTATCTTAGCTTCAACACAGATTATTGACCAACGTCCAGCAGGTCTGTTCCTTGCTAATGTCGCTGATAAAGTCGGACGTGCATCACAAATGGAAAATAAAATAATAATTCAGTATTTAAATGATCTTGCTGAGAGCACATATCAAACAGGAAAAAAAGCTGAAAAATTATTTAGCATTGGAGCCTATTTAATCAATCGAATTGGTAATGAAATAACCTCGATTCGAGAAACTCTTTCATTGGATATGACATTATCTAGACGGAATGTGACATTCTTATCAAATAGACTTAATAAACTCTTATTCCAAGTAACTGAATTTCGTGATCAATTCAAAGCTATTCGTATGGCAATCGACGATGAAGAAAGGATTTGGAATGGAACTCAATATGGCATAAATTCTTTTTATGATGTTGAAAAATATTTTGAATCAATAGAATCAACAGGAAGTAAAATCTATAAATGGAAAAATATTGTAAATAATTTGACTATTTTTAAGCTCGGATGTCTGGTCACTTTTGAGGCTCGAAGAGGAATTGAAACTGCTCTTAAAATTACAGAACAGGTCAGAATAAAATTTATACAAACCAAAGATGTAATACGTGGTTTAAATAAAAAAAAGATTGTTAGGAAAATAGATTTGATAAATTTACAAGGTGTTGAAATGTTGACTGAAGCAGTTTCGGTAGGTTGGGCAGAAAAAGATAAATCAAAAATTATTATTCAGTAGACTGATTAGAAATTTTATTTTATAAAAGTTGTATTAGGCCACACAAATTTAATATATTGATTTTCATAACATGAAACTTTTAAACAAACCCGGCCGGATTTTTTTTTTTAAATTTCATATATAAAACTTTTATAAAATTTTTATATAAAAATTTTTTTAAAAACCTATAAAATTTTTTTTTTTTACAAACTTTGACCCGGCCGGGTTATGAAAATCAATTAATTAATTTTGCATGACTTTATTGTTATTTATAAAATTTTTTTTATAGCATCCTAAAAGAAATACCACATTATTTATATTTTCTAAATATAAATAAATCTTTGGCTAAAATATGTATACTTGTCGGAAGTATTCAAATAGCTATAACTTAATACATGCATATAGCCTGGTTCATGTAACTTATTTTACGTATTAAAGATTTCTTAGTAATTAAAAGTATTTAGTAGATAATATTCGAACAGAACCTTTAAATAGACAATGAATAAAGTCGTATATGTAACTGCATGTACTTTTATCCTTGTACAGTAAGCCTAAGAGCAAGTTAATATAGCATCCTGATAGTATAGATGGCAATATTAATAAAATATATTATTTATTAATTGATTTAGAATAGATATTACTTATATTGTAAAAGATTTATAATTTGATAATTATTAATTATTAAAAAATATAATAAAAAATTTTTAAATATTTTTTAACATATAAATTTGAGTATCTAATCCATAATAAAAGTAGAACTATAACCTAATCCAAACTAATAAACTATTATTAATCCCATTATTATCACTATTATTACTTATAAACTACTAAATTACACTTTGATTATTTACTAAAAGTTATATGATCAATAAGGTTGTTAATGTAAGAAAAGAGTTTTAATTCTGATTTGATGTATTGTAATACTGAATTGAGGTATATCAGAGAAGACAAGAGTAAGCAAAAGTTAATAAAAGAATAGGTTAAAGAAAAACTTAAAAAAGAAGACTAGTACTTACTTATAGAAAAATCTATTTGTCAAATCTAATGTGTCTGTTTTGACTTAGTCACTATAGCTTATATAAAAATTAAAAAAGATTAGTAAAGACTTACTAATTTACTAAACAATAATATTAATCATGACTGTTCATTAAAAGTGTTCACAAATAAAAAAAATAAGGTAAAAAGAATTCAGCTCTTTGGATAATTTTAAGTAAAAATGTGTTAAATAATTAGCATATTTAAAAAAGTAATATATAGTTGCTTTAATTAAAGTAATTATAATAGACCTAGAAAACGGATACCAATGTGGAAGGAATTGAGCAGGCAAGAACCTCGGGTGAAGGGTACCACCAACCAGGCCGCCGGAAGACTCGAACTGGAGGAAAAGGACCTTGGGGGCAGACCCTGGGGTACCAGGAACAGGTCACAGTCCTACCAGGCTATCTGGATTGGGAGTCTGAGGTCAGAAACAGGGGTATACTAAAGTAATAAGGATATGCTGTGAAGTCAGTACTAGGGTCTGGGTGAACTCTGCAAGGGCGAGCCCTGTTAACAAGATACTAAATGTGGGTAGTTAGTTAGCAGGGGGGCCT